GATAAGTTAAATAGTGAGGCAAAAAATTTCAAGCATCCAAAAAATTTCATGGATGTCGCTATCAAATTGCAGCCAACAGTTTGGGATTTCAGTGACTGGAAATGAACTGCCTCTTCCTCACGTCATCGAAGATGGTAGTTTTGTCCACCGTCTGAAAACTTTCAGGAAAAAGAAGGAAGAGAGAGGAGAGGAACAAAAAAGGAAAAGAAAATCAAATAACTAAACAATTGTGATAAGATTGATATGTTGTAACTTTTATATTGGCATGAAATTGTTTTAGCACATCAGCTGCTGAAGTTCAATGGAACTTAAAACAATGCCCTTCAATTTAAGGATGAAAAAGTAATTTACTTTTTCGTTAACGGCTCACTAACGTTTTGTCTTCATATGCAACAAAATGATAATTCAAAGGGATTTTATTTACTTCAAAGGGGTTTATTGCAATGGGGTTATAGTTTAAGGTGGGTTTAGTGCAATTTACCCTACTTTTAATAATTTGTAATAAAATTTATTTTATTTATACAACCCACCAAATTGTATCTCTTTGGACCCTTTTTCTAAGTCTATTAAAAACACAGGCTAGATTTGTTACTAATTGCAACATTCTTTAACTAATTGTCCGAGTATATGGTTTCCATACAAGTATATAATTTTCATTGGATACGTGGAATCTCTTATTTTATTATACAACTCATTAATTTAATTACTTTGTTACTAATTGCAACATTCTTTAACTAATTGTACGAGTATATAGTTTCCATACAAGTATATAATTTCCATTGGATACGTGGAATCTCTTATTTTATTATACAACTCATTAATTTAATTATTTTACTCAATCAACAGCTTTATTACTTTACAACTTTTAATAATACCTTCATTAACCAAAAAAAAAAAATTAATAATGCATTCTAACTTCTTATTGGTATTTTTATTTATCTCACTGAACTACAATTTGCGTAAATTAGAACAGAGTGATAATATTTAATCTAAATTATCGAATCAATTGAATGTCAATGCCTCAATGGACGTATAACGTATTCATAGGGGAAAAAAAAAATGGACGTATTGACAATTTAACCTGAATTGCCAAGAGTCATAAAAAATGTACCAAGTAAAACCCTTGTGAGGTACCGTCATTCCACTAACTAATTCTGATGTCACTGACGAATTCCTTTTGTCTTGATATAATGTAACGATATAATGTAAAATAGTCTATGTTTATTATAAAACACTCTTATACTATTAATTCGGTGCGAATTACACCTTAAAAATTTAAAATAACAATAATACCCCATTTCAGCATAATAACTCAATTGATTGAATTAATTATAATAATAATAATACTTTTTTACCCTTCATCTTTTATCTTCTTGCTCCCCTCCTCCCCCAACCCAAACCCTAGCTGAAGAACCACCAACTTGGCTGAATCCAAAAGCTCATAATATACAATGCTATATTCATCAAACCATTTATATTTTGAAAATATTCATATATAAAGTTCATAAATCTACAAAAATATTACTGGAATGTAGCTGGGCTAAGGGTAGGGCTGAGTAAGGCGTTGCTCAAGCACAAATCAAATTGAGAAAGTGAAAGCATGGAGGCGGGCTTGGGGCTCACTGGGACTGATAACATTACCTCTAAGATATAAAATACATGGAATATATTTCCACCTAAACAACTTTTCAACATCTTATCCTCTTATCCAATATGATGGGCTAACGTTAATTTGGAATCTCAAAATTTAGGCGATCCCCAATTCTTGAATGAAGAACAAAATAATTGAATCCCAGAAACCAAATTAATTGCATTCAACTCATAAAAATATGATCTTACTGTGACTATGATCCAATTATGACAACAAAAAGAGTATTACAGGAAAATTAGGGAGTACATCAACACATATAATCTTCCCCGCCATATACACTATGAATGCATATTTCTTCGAAAATTAGAAACCCAAACACCAAAAATTACATCTCACTTGCATTTTATATTCTGGAGCAACCTGCTCTGGCGAGGTTAAGATCCATGGTGCAAAGCGTATCGACGGACTTCTTCTTCTTGACGATCTTCATCAGCTCCACCTTTCCGCTCAATCTCGACTGGTCGTTCAGAGGCAAGATCCCATAGCACAAATATTCTCCCAAGCGCGGATCGCTTGGTAAAGTGCCTGTCTTGTAGGTTGGCTGAGGAGGTGGTTGTCTCGTGGCTGACTTGAATCTAGGGAGTCAGGCGGCGGCTGTCATGTTTGGGTCACTGCTGGTCACCACCAATTGTTGTGGCGGCGGCTAGGAATCCCTTAGAAAAGGTATAATAGGAAGAAAGAAGGGTAAATTAGGATTTTTATTTTTTTTTTTATATCAATTTTGACCCCAAAAAAATGGTCAAAATGACTTATTTGCACTTTTTTTTGCAATTTATGAACTGAATTACACATTTTCAAAAAAGATGACTATTTAGGGCCAGTTTGGAAATTGTTGTGTGGTGTAATGTAATGCTCTAACCTATAACAAAACAAATGTTTTGTGATGTAGTGTTCTGAAATGAGAACAAAACATATTTGGAATGAAAATTTGGAGTGAGAATTTTGGAATAGAAATTTTATTATTATTATTTTATGATTAAAATAAATTAATTACAGAGCTTGATTAGTTTGCAAAACAAGAATTACAGAGCTTGATTAGTTGATTTATAAAAAAAATTAAAACAAAACCCATACACACAGATTAGCAGTTGCAAAGAGAGAGAAGGGGCAAGCTTGAGAGTTGAGAGAGCGACTGAAGCTTGCGAACGGCTGAAGCTTGTAGATTTTGTAGTTTGCAGTTGCAGAGCTCTAGACTAGGGCAATTGGGAGGCTGAAATGATTTGCCCTAAAAATGGATTTGCAGAGTTGAGACGAGAATAGAGATGGAGGCGTTTGGGAGGCTGAAATGATTTACCTAAAAAAAATTAAAATAAAACCCATACAGTTTGCAGTTGCAGAGAGAGAGCGAGAATAGAGATGGAGGCATTTGGGAGGCTGAAATGATTTGCCCTAAAAAAAATAAAAACAAAACCCATACATTTGCAGTTGCAAAGAGAGAGAACGAGAATAGAGATAGAGGCGTTTGAGAGGCTGAAATGATTTGCCCTAAAAAAAATTAAAACAAAACCCATACATTTGCAATTGCAAAGAGAGAAAGAATGAGAATAGAGATGAAGGCGTTTGGGAGGCTGAAATGATTTGCCCAAAAAAAAATTAAAACAAAACCCATACATTTACAGTTGCAGAGAGAGAGCGAGAATAGAGATGGAGACGTTTGGGAGGCTAAAATGATTTGCCCTAAAAAAAATTAAAACAAAACCCATACATTTGCAGTTGCAGAGAAAGAGAACGAGAATAGAGATGGAGGTGTTTGGGAGGCTGAAATGATTTGCCCTAAAAAAAATTAAAACAAAACCCATACATTTGCAGTTGCAGAAAGAGAACAAGAATAATGATGGAGGCGTTTGGGAGGCTGAAATGAACGATGAGATGAATGAACGATATTAGGGCCTGTTTAGCTACAGTAAATATTGGGCTAGAACAACATAGAATATCAAAATCTTGTTCCAGCTTTTGGGCCAAATAGTGGATTTGTTTTAAAAGTGTTCTGGTACTGTTGAGAACAAAACAATGCAGGCCAAACATGTTGTGGACTCAAAATGGGCTACTGTAGCGGGCCTGGAACACTACAAAACAAACACCAAATAGGGCCTTATGCACAAAACCAATATTACAGGGGTTTCTGCACTTAAACCTTTGTCTTATATAAAGAGCACAGGAGCACATAAGTCACACACTCAAACAACATTTCTTCCATACTTTCTCTCTTTACCTCACAATCCTTCCATCACCGCTTTCTCATACTCTCTCTCTAACTCGTTCATCATGTTCCATCATGAGCTGAAATCATTCGCAATAACCAATTCTGACGTCATTTCGCACTAACCTCTTATATAAACAGCACACAAGAGTGCTTGAATCACACACACCGCATTTCTTCAAGCTGCCTTCTCATACTTACTTTATCTCTCTACCCTCGAGCATGGTGCACGTTCTGGCGATCCGATGTGCCTTCGCCTTCAATCGTTGGTGGATCTTATCATTCTCGTGATAACCGACATAACCTTCGTTTACTCTTCGTGCACCTGCACTTTGTTAAATTCACCGCTGCCGTCCATTCTCTGATGTCCACCACCACCTTACCGATCACAATATTCGCACCTCCTGACGCTTCTATTGTAATCAGCCTTCCTGCTTTGTTTCTCTCTTACTTCGAGAGTACACTGTCCATGACGCCTATCTCCTGCATAACCAATCGAGATCTAGAATCACGTAGATATACATTTGATTAAGATAAACTAAAAAAAGACTTCCTATCATAATTGGTCACTTTAAAACCAACATCACTGCTACAGCAGTAACGGGATTTATATAATTCATTAGCTAGGTAAGAAAAAACATACATTATTTTCCTTTTTCCCACTCCACCCATTCCTATCAACTCTCTTCTTTCAGAAAAGAGTCAGAAAAGAAACCTACATTATTAAGACAAAAGAGGAAAAGTTTTAAAAGCATTAAAAAACTTTTAAAACATATATTCTGAAATTGAAAACTAAACTTCCAAGTCTTTAATTACCAATAATAAATTGTTCGAACATCATATCATAACAATATTATATATATGTATGTAGAAACAAAAACAAAAACAAAAACAAAAAATGAGTATGTAAAATATGAATAAATAAGGGTAAATTACATTCACATCCCCTCTAGTTATTTAAAATATCATTTTCCTACCCTAAAACAAACTTCCGTGAAGCTCAATTAATAGATTATGGGATTTTACTAAAATGACCTCACATTTTAGCCTATTATTTTAATATAATATAGTAAAATTTTAATAAGACAATCTTGCCCTTATACATATATCAAAACACCTACAAACGTTCTAATTGAAAAACCACCAACACACTCCATTTAAACACGTTTTCATTCTCAGAACTCTCTAAGGAACGAAGGAGAGACAGAGACGAAGACAAAGAAAGAGAGTAGTGCGCAAGCAAAGGAGAACGAAGAAAATCGAGAGCTTCCATTCGTGTTTGAGTAAGTTCTTTGAACTCGATTATGTTAATGTTTTGAAATTTGGGTTTTGGGTTTTGTTTAGAGTTTTGGATCTTCAAACTCGTTGGGTTTTTTTGGGTTTTAGGTCATGAAATTGAATTTTGGTAATGTTTTGAAATTAGGTTTTGGATTTTATTTTCTGATTCATTTTTTTTTTTTCAAATGATGGTTATAGTTATGCTTTGAAATTATGGTTTTTTTTTTTTGGTGATCTTCGAACTGGTAGTGTTCATTTTTTCCAAATGAAGTTTCTTGTGATGTTGAAATTAAGGTTTTTTCCCATTGTTTGTGTTATTGAAAATAGTGTAGCAAAATAGGATATTAATATGTTACTTGATCTCTGGTTTGTACTTGTTTTCTGAAAAATAAGTTGTTGGTTATGTTAATAAGTTCTTTAAGGTTTGTAAGATTTTGTATGTGTTTGTGTTGATTAGGGTAATATTGCTCCATACCTATATGTTTATGCATTATATTATACTCAGTTGGTTATTGGCAATCTGCAAATACGGTTGAAAAGTTAGGGCTTTCTGGAATTTGGGTTTCTTTGTATTAATTAGGCTAATTCCTTTCTTGTGTGATGTTGAAATTATGCAATTTGGCCAAGATATCCATTTTTTAGGTTTTGCAATCTCTGTTAATGTCTAAGTGTTTCTGTATTCTTTATAATTTTTTCCTTCTTAATTTTCTATTTTACAATGATGGATGCACCCATTGTTTATGACTAAGTTGTCCATTACGGTGAAAATGTCAATGTGATAGGGAATATAGATCTACAGTTACTTAGAGTTCATGGATCACATTATGGAGCTTGCATTACCTAATGTATTAGCACAAATTGGGATATACATTAACATATATCATGACTAACCTAACAACAATGAAAGGATTTTAGTTGACAATGATCAAAAAGTTGAGAACATGTTTATGTTGAATTGGCTTACGCATAGGATTAATGTGTGTGTTGAAACTAAGGAGCCTGTAGGAGTTGATCTTGGTTTAGCTGAGTTATTGTCAGGTCCAGCAAGAGTTTACCCTCCAGGGGTTGGGCCTTCTCAACCTGTAACAAGTTCTGCTCATGTTGATGTAGAAGATGGATAGAGATGAGGAAGATGAAGATGATATTTCAGCTTATAACCTATTTTATTTGTTTCAATTAATCATATAAAGAGGGGGGAAAGGAATGGAAATTGGTGTCAGTGCGAACCAGCAACAGGTATAGTTTTCTTTCTTTTTTTCCCTTTGTTCATGTTTTTTTTTTTTTTTCCTTCTAGCTTATAACCTATTTTATTTGGTTGAATGAATCATATAAAGAAAGGTAAAGAAAAGGGAATAGGAGTCAGTAATATGAGTCAGCCACATATTGGGGTCAATGTCACCCGGCAGCAGGTTTAGTTATTTTTTTTTCTTTTTTCAGGTTGTTTTTTTTTTCACATATTATAATTGAATGAATCATATACAGAGAGAGAGAGAGGGATGGAAAATCTGAGTCAGCCAACACCAGTTCCACCAACAGCATATTTTGCAGGAAGGGGAGTTAGCAATATGAGTCAACCACCTGCAAGGATGAATGTTAACCCAGCTGGTATAGTTTTGGAGTTTGTTATTATTGGTTTTTAAAATAGTTGTATATATATTTTTTCAACTTATAACATATTTTAATTAGATGAATCATATACAGAGAGGGAGAAGGATGGGAAGTCTGACTTAGCCAACACCAGTTCTACCAATGGCATATTCTGCAGAAATGGAGTTAGGAGTATGAGTCAACCACCTGCAACGGTGAATGTCAACCATCAACTGGTATAGTCTTGGTTTTTTTATTTATTTTTTAATTCTAAAAGTAGTTGTATGTATATATATATATATTATATTCAGCTTACAACGTACTTCAATTAAATTAATCATATACAGAGAGGGAAAGGAATGGAAAGTCTGGGTCAGGCAACACCAGTTCCATCAACATCTTCTGCGACAAGGGGAGTTAACAATGTCAACGAACAACATGTATCTATTTTTTTTTTTTTTTTTTCCTTTTTGCATTAAAAAATAACTAATCACCATTTCTATCATGCATGCATAGGTTGAAAGGGTTAACAAATTACTAGTACAGAGGGAGGGGAATCAATGGAGGAACTTTTCATGGAAGGATAGTTGGCAGAGGAAGGACACATTTAATCATGGGTAGCAATGTTGGTCATGGTGCAAGCTCCTGAAGCCAAACCAATATGTGACAATTCCAGTTGCAACAATCTTTTATGTTTATAAACTTTATAGATGAAACCTAGATACTGATGTGTAGCTCCTAAACCTAGGTTTTTTGTGTTGTGGTACAAAAAATTGTAAATGATGTGGTACAGTGTTTTTTTGGGGGGATGCAAGTGACTTGGTTTTTTTTTTTTTTTTTTTTTTTTTTTTTGTGGTGAAATGAAGTTATGTAATGACAAATGTAGAACCTATTGGGTCTTTTATTAATGAAGTTATGTAATGAAAATTATGTTCACTATTAATTACGACTTTTCATTATATGTTTGGTTTTACTTCTCTTGTGAATTTTTATTATTTTATGTTTTTGTTTTAACTTATAACAAGTTGATCTAATTTCATTGAATTGTCATATGTGACAAACTTAATTTTTGCAAGTGGGGCAAGTTCAACTAAGGTGCTATTTGTAAACAAATTAATTAAATAAACAAATTAAATAAGACAAATAATCAATATAAATTGCCAATATATTTAGTAAAAAATATCTAATGCAATTCAAATCATTAGAAAATAAACAATATAATACATTAATATATATAGAGAAAACGGAGGAAAATGAAGCTGTTAGATGGGACCTGAGAAGTGGAGGGAAATGTGTGCTCCATTTTGGCAGGAGCATATTGTTTAGGCAAAATGGTCTTCATATATATTTGGAGGACAATAAGGGATTTTTGGAATTTTAGATTGCTGACATCATCAATTAATTGACGGAAGTTTGTTTTAAGGGAGGCAAATGATATTTTGAATAATTGAGCGGAGTAGTTTGAGCTTTTAGCTAACTAGGAGGGAGGTAAATGTAATTTACCCAATAAATAAACGTAACCAATAGCTAAAAATGCCAATTAAAAATTTAGAAAAAGTAAGAGTTTGTTACCTGATGACTGAGGAGGAATGTTTCTTGAACCTTGTTCTTGCTAAATGTTAAAGCCCAATGTTAACCCTAAAAAAAAGAAAACACTCAAGTTGTGAGGAAGAGGTTTCACAATCTCATTCATAACAATTAAAACACCACCATTTACATATTATATGTATTATGTATCAATCCAACCCAACTATGCTTTTAATCAAAATGTTGGACACCTATCCGTAAAAAGAGATGTGATTACGGATAGGTGTGATTAGCACATATTATACTCAACTCTTACGTTAAATTAATCCAATAATAAAGTACAATGCATCAGTTCAGGAATAATCTTCAAAATTAACAAATCAATATCCTGATATTCTGCATTCGAATAACAAAAGAAAATTAAAAAACCAAAATTTGAAAATAAAAATATGGCAGAAAGATTGAATATATCCTTAGTGAATTACACAAATTGTATTTCTATGTAAAACAAAACATCCAGGATTTCTCAATGAGGTGGGCTAAATCAATATATATCAACCAAAATCAACAGTTGTTTAATTCAATTTTAGTTAACTAACAATGTTTTTTTAGACAATTGACTGATTAAGGCATAGAAAATCCTATTTGGGTAATTAATAATAAAAAAAAAATACCAATTTATTTCTGAACAATTCACCACTCAGTACCCCATCTCCTCTTTTGACCAATTTACTAATCCTAGTTGAGAATCTACTAGTGGAAGCAGAGTGTGAGGTAGTTCATGGCAAACCCCTTCCAACACCATGGAATTCACTCAAAAGCATGCTTTTTGTAAGTATTTTAATTTTCAAGAAGTTACTTTAGAGCTTTACCCTACATTAAGTACTTCTGCTTGTCAAATTCTTGTTATGATTTTCGTTTTGTTTCTTTTTTTTTTTTTTTTTTTTTTTTTTTTTTTTTTTTAATTCTGAAAAGATTTCTATCTTCAAAAAGCTTGGCATGTTGATAAAAATTATTTCAAATTCAATCTCTACAGATTTCTAATCCAATTCAAGTTCTTTTTTTTTTTTTTCTTTTTTCATGCCCAGATTTGCAATTTAATTGACGAAAAAAAAAAAATTTGTTTTGCTAAAATAAAGTGTAGATTACGATGATTACCTCAAAATGCAATGCAAATTTTGTTACTTTGTATTGTAAAAAATATATATTATATAAAAAAGATCATAAAAATTTTCACCAAATAGGATTTAGTTTGCAAAACAAGAATTACAGAGCTTGATTAGTTGATTTAGAAAAAAAATTAAAACAAAACCCATACATACAAGTTAGCAGTTGTAGAGAGAGGGGGGTAAGCTTGAGAGTTGAGAGACAGTAGGCCAGCGGCTGAAGCTTGCAAACGACGCACCCGAACTGGAACAGCGGGCGATGGAAACTAAAAGATATGGGTTTTGATTTTTTGAACAATCTAAAATGATATGCCGATATGGGTTTTCATATAGGTTTTGAACTTTTGATTCAAATAGATAAACGAAAATATATGGGTTTTGAACTTCTGATTCTTGTGGATTTTGTAGTTTGCAGTTGCAGAGATAGAGAGAGAGAAGGGGCAAGTTGGGAGTTGAGAACAAGAATAAAGATGGAGGTGATTGGGGAGGCTGAAATGATTTGCCCTAAAAATATTGATATATATATATATATATATATATATATATATATATATATATAAGCAAAAACTACCAACCAGTCAAATGGTCAAATTTACCAGTCAAAGAAAACAGGTTTAGTACTAAAATTGTAAGATTTGATTGATTTGATTCTGATACAGTGATAATGATATTCCGTGTTTGGAAGAGTTTTCAAACTCACAAAGTTCAATAATTTATTACCAAATTAAATAACTATGAAATTTTTGAACTTACTGTAATTTTTTACTTTTTAGTTATTAGAAAATAAAAAAATTATTATTATAATACTAAAATAAACATACTTTGCAGTTGAGTGTGTTAGAGAAATATATATGCTTCATGTGACTTTTAAGATATAACAACTCTTATACTAATATGATATAAGATAATTAATAATATGCTAAGAAATGATTAATCAAATATACAATTATATATTTAATTAAATATTCAAAATAAAGTAATAAATAGTAAATAAAGAACCTAGACCGAAGCTAATGTTGAATACTATGTCCTTAAGACAGATTCGCCCCTCTATGGTGCTAACGGACTCAGTGGCGTCTATCTCCTAGGATACAACAGTCTACATCCACCAGTTGCAGCACTACAAAAGCGTAGATACGGCGAACCTTCTTCGTGTAATACTTTCTCTAACTCAAAAATGCATTTATACTATATAAATGCTGAATTGGGTGCAATCCAAACCAAATGGTTCGGACCAATCTTAATATGGCTCGATGAAATTGGATTAGGGTCTAAGTGGTTCAAACCACTTAACCTATGGTTTGAACTCACTTGTGTTAGGTTCAAGTCTAGAGAGGGAGATAGAAGAAAATGAAAAAATGAACAATTTGCAAATGATTCAAAGGGGGTATTTATAGGCAACAAGGTGCCTTTTCTGGTAGGTGTAACCTTTTGGAAAAAACTAAAAAGTAATTTTTAAGTAATGTGCCTTTTTGGATTGGGTGCAACCCTTTGGAAAAAAACTAACTTTTAATTTAAATTCAAAAATCAACCACCCATTTAAATAAGCCCAGACAAAAAATAAAGGCCCAATCCAAAATTCCATTTAGTAAAAAGAATAATCGAACTTTACAATTAGACCCAAGTCTAAGCCCAAATCTGGCTTATTTAAATTTCAATTGATTTCAACATTTTTCCATATGGGACAAACACTTCCCACATTTTGCATACCCATTTTGGCTTATCAAAACACCAGACTTTGGAGCTAATTTCTCATTCACCCGAAAACGGATTTGAGAAAGTAAATATACCACGGTCATCTCCTTGCGGAAAGAAACGCGATTGTCTAGAGGTCCACAAAAAATTCTTAGCGGAATCTATTCTAAATCTCATCCAAAGTTTATGTTTTTAATGTCCCCGTTTCCAACAATCCCCCACATGAATGAAAATTGGCTGCTTAAATACAAAAGATGATCATGCAAACACTAGAGAAAGTATAGTTGGAAAGTTACTGCATCAGGATAGGTAGCTTTTGGCTATCGGATTTACTGGCTAACTAGTGAATGCGATGTCTTAAACTGTTCAGCCATTTGTGTAAACCAAGACAATAACAAACACACAGTACCTTTCCTTACAAAGTTGGTTCTCATTATTATGTTCATTTTGGCCTTGAACAAGTCCTGGTATTCAATCAATGCTTCATAAAACTTAGCCTTTATAGTTCTCATAGAAGCGGCCCCACTTCACACTCATATAGGTGACTTCTTATTAAGAGTATCCTACCATACCCCACTTGAATTTTCAAGGTATAAGAGTCATTAAAAGCATAGCTTATCCTAATCATCGCTGTAGGTAGCACTGTCTGATCATAGAAATTGGTAGAAGATTTATATATCTTCCCAGTGCTTCTGGTGAGTCACTCAGAATTTATGTTATCCCTTTGAACCTAGATCTTGGGATCTCCAGTCAGCTAGGTTGGGTTTCCATTAAGGTGACTCGTTAGCTTTCGGCTTTAAACCACATTCCCCTCGATAATCTGTACAATTGTTCTCTAATACAACCCTCAATTTTATATGTGGCCACAAGGTTGTGTTTAGAAATATTACACTCTACAGAGATTTCTCCAGTTGAGAGCAACTGTATACTTTGTGCCCAAAATTGCTTATTGTTAGCAATATCATTTTCTTTAGTGGCACAGGTGTAGACTTATTTTGAAATGTCATCTAGGTGAAGTCTATTGACTTTCCTAATTGATTTATTCAAAGTTTCTAACTTTGAGTTATATTAAGAACATATAACTATACCTTTAATATTAAAGACATATCCACTCTTGGATTTGAAATCTTTAAAATCCCACATCCAGATTGCATCACTGTTACACCTCCAATTTAGTTAGATACCTCGATCTATGAAATATTGGACTTAGGGTGTATCTCAACTACCCAATTTGTTACTTTTCAATGATCCTATCTTGGATTGAAAATGTGTAATTAAACACAGTTATTAAGATGCCTTGCAATCTCAACCAATGATATACTTTGACTAGTATATATATTTGAGATTTACATTTACAAAAGTTAAATAGGCTTTTGTTATCATAACTAGTAT